TCGGGGACCTGAGCCACTTAGGCCTGTCTAGCAGCCGGACCTGTGGGTTGTATTCAGAGATTTCCTTTGCTAGGTCCTCCCATCTGTCCGAGTCCGTGTCCCATTCTTCGGGTGTCCAGTCTTCGTCCCCTAGTGGTATGCTATTGATGACGATGTTGATGGACGGTGTGTCTGTGGTGACATTGAAGCCGAAAACGTCGATCCCGTTTAGGGCCTTGGTGATTGCCGGCACGTCGTTGAGGACTGGTTCGGCCGGCAGGTCTCCCATGGTGGTAAGTACCAGGTCGTTGTTTCGGTTAAATTCTGTGTATGCGAACTTAACCCTGGATGCCGAGTTGACCGCGTCTCTGATTCTTGCTGGTGACAGCCCTGCTGCTCCTATCCTGCGACCTCTTTCTACCGATCGGATAAGTAGCCTCCTTTGCCTGGCATGCGGGGTTGAGGGTGCCGAGGGTGCTGTCTCTCGGATGCCTGGGGCTGGCTCTTGTCTTTTTTTCTTCGTTGGTACTAGCCGGAAGCCGTCCACATCAATTCCGGAGGACGTAATGGTGGCCCATGTCTGTTTGAGCGTTGTTTTCTGCGGGGCGGTTTCGTTTGCCTTGGTACTCGTCCCGGTTTGCGGTGCCGGTACTGGTGCATCTCCCTTAGGCTTTCTTAGAATTTGTTTTGAGGAGGGGGGGGGGGGCTGCGGTGCGGCGTTGCGGGTGGGGGGGGGGTTTTGGTTGGGGACTGGGGTTTGGGTTCTGGGTTGTCTAGGGGCAGCGGATGGGGTAGGGGTAGGGGTGTTGGTGTTGGATTGCCTAGCCCTTAGTCTTATTTCCCCGGTAAGCCGTTCCTCCATTGCCTGCATCTGCTCCTGGAATTTCTTTTCCAGCTGGTGGATGAAGCCCACCATGATGCCTACGGTGACGGGGCGTCCTAGTTCCTCCTTTTCTTCTGGTGTGAGTTCGACTTCCGCCGATTCATACAGGGAGGAGGAGGGGATGGTGGGGCGGTTTTGGGGATGTGAGGAGTTCGGGTCGTTGGTCATATTACCTGTTAAAGTCCCCGGGATTTCTCTTGTCGTGGCCAAGGGGGAAGAAAACCGTACCTGCCTTGGTACACTCTGGGGGGCCGAGCTCTCCGGCACTTCGCTTGGTCCGTGGGCGTGTTGGCTGTCTCCTAACCCGGTTTGGTCTGTGTTTTTCCCGTTTCCCAGGGACATTGCTACATCTTGTGTGGCTTGCGTTTCGGTTACTCCGATGTCTTGAGACTGGTCCATGGGTTCGTCCATTTCGCCTAGCGGTGGGGAGGAGGCGGGTACCTGTGGTATCTGGGATACTGGTACAGGGCTTTCTTGTGACGGGTGGTATGAGGAGGCTGCTGCTGCCAGGAAAGCTAAGGCGTCGGTGTCGGCTGCATCTACCGCTTCATTGCCAAAGATTTTCTGGAGTGTGGTCCTGAACCCTGGGAGCTCCGGTTGGGGTGCCGCTATGGTCGGGGCCTTCGTGTTTCCGGTGAGGAGGACGTAGCATGCATTCGTGCATCCTAGTTCCTGTCTGACCTCGGGGAAGGTACTTCCCCTGGCCACGATTCTGTTTCCCACGTTGATTAAGGCGTTGGGGCAGCCCCTTTGGTGCCTAATAGTGGCAAACATGGGGAGGGTTGAGTTGAGGGAAACTCCTTGAGGGGAGCCGGGCGGGAGGAGGCTGGGGGAATTGATCCTTGGGCTCTTGGTAGGGCTTCTGGGTCCCCCCAGGGGAGAAGGAGAGTGGGGGAGGTGCGGCAGGGCCGGAGACGAAGGTTGGGAGGTCATGGTGAGTGAGTAGGATGGTCTTATGGCCAGCGTCCTAAACTCTCAAAGGAAATGAAGCCTTAGGATGGAGGGCTGTGATTGGCCACACCACCTAAGGGAGGAGTATCGTGGGTGTAGGGGCGTGGCAGTAATTGTCCCTTTGAGTGAAAATTCTGGTTGTACCGGATAAAAAGATGATGTGTACACAAACAAAAATAAACTTGGTGTGGTTGCAGGAATGCCCCGCTAACTGTACCGGAATTTCCGAAATTTTTCTCGCTCCGTGTGTGTGTGTGTGTGTGTGTGTGCGTGAGCGTGAATATGGAGTCCTGTTCATCAGATTCTGCACATCGCGGGGTGGGGGGGGGGGAAGGAAGGAAGGAAGGAAGGAAGGAAGGAAAGAAGGTGAGCCAGTTGGTATCATATATCATAAACTTGGACTCTATTCTTCCGGGCACGAATACTAATACTGTCGCTTCGGTGAGGCCGAGCTGGGCGCTGCGGGTGGCAATACACGGTACTTGTACAGCACCGGTAGTAGGGGGTTTCACGTGTTCTGCACTCTGGCCCTATGGGAAGAGTCCGGATGGCTAAATTGGTGTTTGGCGAGCGCGATCGTGATTTCAAATCAGGTGTTGACTTCGAATCGTGGTCTTGTCATGGAACGTTATCATAGTCGGGGCTGAGTATCGTTAGTCTAGGGCAATTACTGAATGTGATTCTTGATCCATTTAAACTTGCATGGTATCGTGGTATCATATTTTTCACAGAGTTGTGGAACTTCTTGGCCAAGAAGATGAAGGGCGGGGGAGTATTATAGGAAATAGAAATAGTAATAGGTATGATGTGTGGATGGTAGGTTGTATTATTGATATGATTGGTATTTATTTATAGGATACATTTCGGGAAATTCTTGGATATAACGCTACGGTGGTAGAGTAGTATGGGGTTTGTATTGTTGATTTTGTTTAGTTTAAGGCATTAAGGGTCGTTGGTGTGGGAAAATATAAAACATCTTTTGATACTCTTATTTGAACTATGATATATCATTATCTGTACTGAAGTAAACCTACAGGCAATGGAGCTCAGGCTAATAAGATTACTAAGATGTTGGACTTGCCTCTCCTGATATGGTTTGATATTTACTTGTTTTTTATTTGTCTTGAACAACTGGTTTTTTTGGTGTGTTTTTCACCCCTATACTAGAGGGGGAAATTTTAGACTGCATAGTACATGGACCAACTATTTGAGTTTTGACAGTATAATAAGCAATATAAAGTATTTATAAAGGTGTCGTAGTTAAAGTTGTTGATATCTTTGAAGATAACTTGGAAAGATAAACTTAAATAGTAAGAATCGGACTCTGATGAAAGGAGCTAAAAAGTAGTTGAAAGTAGGTACTGTTAGAGTACCTAAAAATCAGTCAAAGGGGTATTTTTTTTTTTTTTTTTTGGGGGGAGCTGGTTAAGTTCAAGATAGGACTCGGATATGGGGTATAAAAATCCTTCAAGTTTTCTAAAACTAATTGTTATTCCAGGAAGAATTTGATTAGAGTAAACCAGCGATTTCGACTTACGATTTAGTGATTGGAAATCAGAATCACGTTTGCCAAGCACTCCTTGGGGTTCCCTTTTCTTTCTTTCTTTTCTTATCATACTTTCCTTGTTTTCCTATTCTTTTTTTTCCTAGGAGTTCGATTGTAGAAAAATTCCGGGGAGACTGCTTATCGTAGTTATTTGTCTCATAATTACTCTTACAGCACTGTGCACGGTACTCCGTGTTCCAACTGGATATGGGTACTCGGGGATGCTCGGGAAGTTGGTAGAAGTTTTCCCTTTTTAGAGCTTATATCTTCTTTGCAGGAGGAAGTAGGTTGTCGTGGGTGCGTGGTGTAATGCGGTATTTATCGTAATATACGAGTATTACGGCACAGTATGCTTTTGATGTGCTGTACAGTACTGCACTTGGGCACAAATTGAGGTTGGGGGTGGGGTGACATCCAAAAGCCGTGGCTGCAACCTGCAACATATTTAGATATCGATGTCACTCCGTCCTAGTTGTAAAATTTCCCCCGAGTAGTAATTGATGAGTTTACTGCGATCAATTGGGTTTGGAACCGGTCAGGAGCCCTCTTATAGGAATTAAATTTTCCCCATGCAGTCTCGCCCCGGCAGCGCCTTGCGTGAGAGAAGGGAATATTATCATGGAATTGTCTCCATTTCACTCCAGTTCACTCCCCTTTGTTCCGCTACTTTCCATGGTCTGCGGCATAATTTGACGTTCTGTAGGAATTTTTATGCTTTATACTCTATAGGAGTAAAGCCCCCAATCGCTCTTTCACCAGGGAACCCCTGCCTCCCACTGGGCGTCCACCGCCGGAGTTCCATGGATTTGCCTGGCTTACAAATCCGTGCTAAAAGAGACGTTTCCCATAAGAACTAGGATATGGTCTTAACTCTTGTATTCCACTATCTCCGCCGGTCCTCTAATCTCCATGTTGAGGAAAAGCTCATAAGAAGGATTAGCTGTTTCCTCGCACGGTATACACTGAGTGTGCTGAGTATTTTGGATCTCATTAACTGGTATCCGTAATTCTGTTAACCTGTCAAACTAAAAATATACCGGTAGTAGGCTCATGCGTGGATTGACGGAGATTGGAGGTCTGGCGGAGTTAGTTGACTGGTTGAATTAATAAGGCACACGTCCGGGATTCCCTTCTTTGGGTAGTGCGGGGATCACTAGGGAAACCTGGGATTCGGCCCTCGGCTGAGAGGATGCAGTAAGAAGAAAAGTATTTGTACAACAGGCCTTACTAGGAGAGGCAACTCCAACGTCCTGGCGTGAGGTTGGTGTATTCCAGTTCCTATGGTATGCCATTCTGTAAGGTGGAGGTGGGGAGTCGTTTTTCCTCTTCCTGCCAAGAATTGCTTAGAAATACTCCCGCAGCTAAGTTGAAGTTCGGCACTTTGTATGGGAATTGCGGCTCGAGGTGTCCAACCTCAACTCAGCTGCACTTGCACGTTTTCTCTTTTCCGCCATGTTGGTTTCCGAGGGGAAGGAAAGGGGGGGAAGGAAAATTCCACGGAAGTATATGGGAGACGGTGAAGGTGGATCAAATGGGGCGATGGTGTGTGGGGGAATGACGTCGTTAACCTGGCGAGGTTTCACTCTGGATTTAATATAAAATGGTCTTTCCCTGAACCTTTCGGGGCTATCAGGGAAGAATCTGTGATAAGGCAACACGATCTTGCATTTTTGTTATTTCCGCCGATATCGAGCATAAATATGTCATCTTCAAGTAACAACATTCCAAAGTCCACCGCTCAGTGGGTTGTCCGCCGTACCGACGCTGGATTCGATGGGTTGGAGTTGGAGACGAAAGAGATCCCTTCCTTGGGAACTCACGACGTCCTCGTCAAGATGAAGGCTGCGTCGTTGAACTTCCGGGATCTGATTATCTTGATGGGGTCGTATCCGTTTCGTAAGTTGTTCCGTTCCTTCTTGCAATTGGCCTCCGTGGTGAGAAAGATTGGGCTAATTGTTTTTGATGCATGAATGAATATAGCCATTTCTTCTGGAGTTGTGCCCGCTTCCGATGGAGCTGGTGAAGTCGTTGCCATAGGGCCCCAGGTCAAGCATCTCAAGGAGGGCGATAGAGTCGCGACCTTGTTTAATCAGGGACATCAGTATGGCGCTCTAGATAGTGAGTCTATTATGACTGGTCTCGGAGGTGCGCTTGACGGAGCACTGAGGGAGTATGGCGTTTTCCATGAGCAGGGGCTAGTTCCTTTGCCTAAGGGACTGACATTCGAAGAGGGTGCTACGCTCCCTTGTGCTGCTGTTACTGCCTGGAACGCTCTGAACGGGTTGAAGGTCTTGAAGCCGGGACAATGTGTCTTGGTTCAGGGAACCGGTGGTGTCAGTGTCTTTGCCCTCCAGGTATGTCTAACGCCCGAACATGGACCCCCTTATGGGAAGCGTATCAGTTAATTCGACTCCTCGACCCGATAGTTCGCTAAAGCCGCCGGTGCCTTCGTCGTGGCAACCACGTCCAGCGCTGAGAAGGTCAAGATACTCAAAGAGCACGGAGCAGACGTCGTGATAAATTACAAGGAAACCCCCAACTGGGGTGAGGAGGCACGAAAGCATACACGCAACAACGCTGGTTTCGACCACATCGTTGAAGTCGGCGGACCCTACACCCTCCCCCAATCGCTTGCCGCGATCAAGTATGAGGGAATTATTAGTATGATTGGATTCGTAGCGCAGAAGCAGACCACCGAGGACATCTCACTTATGCAGTCCCTGTTCAAGGGTTGCACTGTCCGTGGTGTCATGGTTGGGAGCAGGGACATGATGTTAGAGATGGGTGCCGCGATCGAGGCCAACGGGATTAAGCCTATTATGGACAAGAAGACGTTCAGCTTCAAGGAGGCAAAGGATGCGTACATGTACCAGTGGGAGCAGAAGCACATTGGTAAGCAGCTTTACCTCCGTTTCTGTCGTACCAATTACCACCGCGTCGCAGAGTGCTAATTGATACCGCGAATTAGGCAAGGTTGTGATCAAGATCGACGAGTAAAGCCGGAGGTGTCCTACGACTACTTTTTCTTAGCACAATTTCCCTATTGGTTTTGTCCAAGGTTGTCCGTATCCAGAAACACAATCTGATAGAAAATGAATAAAAGAGATTATGGACACTGTCCAATTCCAACTTTATTATTGTTTTTTGTTTTTCCACCATCAATCTCGTGTACTACAGGATCTATTAGCAGGATAGTAGTATCCATCGCTGGCCCCTAAACCAGCCAGACGTTCCAGACCCTACAAATTGAGAGTAGAACATGTGCTAATGATCTGCTTGTAGAGTATAGACTACCCGAGAGCCTTCTATATACAAGGCCTGGGTTTTCCTCATTAAAATATCGTATCTTAGAGTACCTTGAATATTTATCGGCGTTTATCGCCAGATACCTCAACAGGAAAAAGGGGTGGGGAACAATTCTCGCTTTATCTAGCGGGAGGTTGGAGTGTACTAGGGAACTGGTTATGGCATTATAGTGGTGTATTAAGTGTGTTGAACGTGAAAAGCAATGTTGTGACTTGTCCAGGATGTGCAATAAAGGTTTTCTCAGGGTTTGGACGGGCACAGTAAGTTGTCTTGTGATTCCCGGCTATCATATCACGGTTCGAGTATTCATGGACCAGTACCGGGTTTTTCGCACCGCTCCCGAACGATTGAGTGACCTAGGGGAACAAGATAGACTATCGGTTCCAAGGGAGTGCCGGAGAATCGCGCAGAGGGAGTAGTCATGAAAACCGTTTTTTTTTAGGGGTTTTTTTTCCCCTCTCGAACTGGTTTAATCGTTCGGGGGGAGCTCTCGAATATATTTAGTTTTCCTATGTGGATCGTAAAGGAAATTCTAGGAATGCGGGTTATTTCGCCTCATATTTGGTGTTGGCCCATGATTGTCCCCACCGTATCATAAGCTGGCTTGTGATCCCGGGAATTGTATTACCGTGAGGGAGGTGAGGTGCTGACTTGGTGAAGTATCGATTTGCCTGGTGTGCTCGCAGCGCGTCTTCCCTCCAGGCTTTGTTCTGCATCATCGTGTAGAAGAAACCTGTGATAATCGGACCCGAGATGGTAGTCCCCGCGCACTGTCCCCGCATGTGTGTGGGGGGGGGGGCTGGGAGGTTGCCCTGTTACTGTTGCATCTCATGGAGGTCGTGATTGCAAGTCCAGCTGGAGTATCATAGCTATGTGCCTGTTCGAGGTCACACGCTCAGCCTTGTTTCATTGTGCTAGTCTATACCTCACGAGTACCCCAGGGAGTAAGATGTTTTGGGTCAGGAGAAAAGGGAAAAAGGAGAAGATTATTTGGTACTTGTGATTATCCCGATTTCGTTCTCATGTCGTGGCTCTTATGTACTGCGTTCCCCCGTGCGGTCCTTGCTTGCTTGAACGCAGTATGATACGGGAAATATCGCTGAGTGAGTGCTTTAGCAATTCGATTCGGGATATGTTTGAGGTAAACAGATGATATTTGATTGGGTATTAGGCCATGTGGGCCCAGTAATAATAGCGTCAGGATATCATACCATGGGTAGGGTAGGTGTGTGTGGGGGTTCCTCTCAGGCTTGGTGGTACCCCCTTCCCCTTCCCCTTCCCGCCGATTTCAATATACACTTAGTAATAGGAAATAAAGTGTTTCATTCAACAAACACTTGAATCCTCACGATACGTCCACACCACCGAGAACTACATCATACATGTCAAACGATCCCGACCACCGTCTCCTAGCCCTATATTGGATTCCACCCACGTATCCAATGCACACGATGCGGTACGATATCTCGCAACACGCACCAATCAGAAGGGAACGCCAATGAGGGGTAGATCCGACGAATCTCATGATATCTGTCAAACTCAGACCGTGTGATACGCACAAAGCACAACCCGCAGGTCTTCATTCAGGGACAGAAGGCGTATCGATGAATAAAACAGAAACAGTGACCTCGTGAGCAGCCGTTATGGCAATTACCGTCACTATGAAACCCAGTTAGCCATCTCCCGTCCCCAACCCCGAGTGCCAGAGGGGGGAGGGGGGTGGGGGTGCACCAGCTCTAAAAATAGCACCACGGGTCAAATCTATGAATCAAGCACGACGAGTGTATCATACAATCCCGTTCGAGATGATAGTTGATGTCACGTCTCGAGGAAGACGCAGGCACTGCTCGTAAGGCTTAATGGCTCCACCACCATACTACACCGTACCATACTCCGTTATATACGAAAACCGACGTCAAAGGTATATGAAACTGAGCAAAAAAAAATAAGAGAAAAAAATAAGATCCCGCTGACAACGGAGAGGCTCACGGAAGAGAACGAAAGTATTGTACCACACCAGTGCTGTACCCTATTGGCAGACTCGACAACCCCAAAATCCTCCCAGCCAACCAACCAACCGCCGATCCCCCGGACCGGTATTTCGTATAAGTATGGCGAAACACGTGACGGGAGAACTTCACGTTGTTATGCAGCTCGCCTGCGCCAAACCTCGCGAGTGACGTCCTGTGATGACACTTTGGGTGCTGTGGTATGATAATATCATGTTGGGAAATTTTTTTCCTTTCTTTTTTTCCTTGGCCAGTTATAGGCTGGCCGATCCGCCCATGCATGCGGCGTATAAATGGTAAGGGCGAACAGAGCCGGTCAATTTCTACTAATCAGATCTATCCATCATCGTTGTATCCTCTTTCGTTGATATTTTATTACCCTAAGAGGCTGGTTGAAGACAAAAATGTAAGGGTGCGCTGCAGAAAAAAAAGAATAGAAAAAAAACACTCAAGTGAAGGCCTAGAAAAAAAAAAAAAAAAATCTTGAAATTGATGACACGATTTGAACACGATCCCCTGCATTAACCTCCTCCCCAAACTTTTAATGAATCCTTATGATGCGGACCCACGATAAACGTGAGAAATGACGAGGGTATGCATTTGATAGAGTGGAGTGGAGTAATGGGGACGGGGGGTTTTTTTTTCTTCGGGAAAAAACAAACATAATTTAGGTAGGTGCTGTTGCAGATTTTGGGGAATGTTCATCGGAGGTGAGTGTATGCCTTGTGCCTGGCGGTTCGCTCGGTTAAGCATAACTTTTTTTCTAGTCGTGGTACTTCACATTACAAGCACTGCAAGACACGTTATGTACCCCCCCCCACCTCTCAGGCGGGAGGTATGGGTAGGAGGGCAACTTTTGCTGTGAGGTGGGTTTTATATCTACCTGTATGGTGTTGTCGTTCCGATTTTTCTCCAAGCTGATTGCTGTGAACGTGGTGTTGCTTGCTCGTGATTGTAGGATTTTTTCTTCCTTTTCTTCTCTTTCCTCTTTCTTGCAGGGAGGGACCCGGAAGAACATGTGAGAAGAATCATGGAAATTTCTTGGATACGTCGGTCGTTGAAGACGAAAACTGGGGGGTTCAATTGAATTAAGTAGAGTTGAGTTGTTGCCCTAATAATGCACTGTTTTCTGCTCCTCTGGCACCAATTACTTGAGATGGGGTGATTCTAAAGGGCGGAGAAAGGGCTAGGAATAATTGCGATTGGTGGGAATAACAGGGGGATTGTTCTTCTCCAGTATTGCCCTGCGCTCAAGCACAGCGTTAGAGTAAGAGTGTAGTAGAACCAACCTTTCAGGCTCCTCAGCCAACTAACTCTACGAGTGAGTTTCCCCGAGCTATCTGTCTTGCATGAGGATCTACTAACATAGCTTCTGGCGAAGTGCGATATATAACCGGCAACCGAATTTTTTCTAATCCAGATAGCTACTCATTGCTATGAGAGCCATTCACTGATAAGAGGACTTTTTGAAAAAAAGAAATAGGGACGAAACGAAAAAGGAAGCAAAGAGAAGGAAAAAGGGGAGAAAAAAGAAACTCCAATTGTTCCCAGAACATATCCAAGCGCACCTATACACACACACACTACTACACACATCACAAAAAAATCAAGATGTCACTTCTCAACTTCCCTAACGAGCTTCTATTGGAAGTCGCCGAGCACCTCCGCCCCCGAGACCTCAACTCTCTGCTTCGAACCAGCCATTTCCATGCGCAGCTCCTCACCCCCGGAATCCACCGCCTCGCGTTCGAGGAGAAAGACGGCCTAACGGCACTTCAATGGGCGGCGGTCAAGGGCCATGAACCCCTGGCACGGCTGCTGCTACGAAACGGCGTCAACGTCAACATTTCGCGGAATGGGTGGACGGCGCTGCACAGGGCTGTCCGTCATGGCTTTGAGGACATCGTGGCATTGCTACTTGAAGAGGGGGCGGACGCTTCGATAAAGGGGACGGCGGGCATGACTGCGCTGCACTGGGCGGCATTTCTGGGGAATGAGAAGGTGGTGAAGAGGCTATTGGAGACGGGGGTGGGAATTTCTACCGAAGATAATTTTGGAAAGACGGCAGCTTATTACGCCACCTTGAGGGGGCATATCGCCGTGGTGAAGCTTCTGGGCTAGGTGCGGTGATGGAGAGGTGACCTTGATGGGTAGAGGTTATTGCTTGCGTAGCTAGAGTTGCGTTTGGGAATTGGGGTAACCTTGGGCTTGGTGGTGATTATCTGAACCATGGGGAATTGGGGTGGGGGGGGGAGGTACAAGTTGCCCAATATCAAAAAAGAGCTTGTTTTCCAATACTTTCACTCCCTCATACTAGGAAAAATGACCCGAACATCATAATGCCTTAAAGCAACTCGCTTCAGGCCGCCATCTCAGCTCTAGACTTCTCACTTCGGGCATGTATGTACCCGTCAATCACCATCACCAACAAATCACATCGCACTCACCTCCACTACGTCTGCCACAGTGCTGGACTATGCGTGATACTCCCTTAGGGACAGGTCGACCAACCACAGGAGCTGCAGGGAACACAAAAGGTCGCATTCTATGGTTTCCCGGTAACTTCGAGCATGGTTTCTCCTCCTAACTAACCCCCCATTACACTTCGCGCCACCCTCGGCCTGATGGTACTTTTCAAGTAATAGCACAATACAACCTACTGCATCCCAGCTCACCAGATACTCGTGTCAGGGAACTATCACTGCTAGGGCTGCGGCCAGCCCAGTTCCGTAATGGGTAGTAAGGGGAGAAAAAAGTTGGCTCTTCGTCGTGATAACCGGAAGGAAGAAAAAGTCTAAAACTTCCCCCCATCTACAACCGGTCCTTGGTTAGATGTTTTACCCACGTAGCGGCGGGCGGCTACGAGGTAGTTCTCGAGTGATAGTGTGTGATGATCGGTCTTGGATGGGTCAATTTGGCATGGTGCGGCTGTTACATGGGCAACTGCTGTCCCAGAGTCTAGACCCGCAGTCTAGCACCTGTTCGGCGACAAAAGCGTGGACAGCGTCACAAGGATCCCGCGCATTACTTTATCAAAGTTACCAGCTATTGTAGTCAACCATCATACCTAGCGAGGCGATTAATAAAAGCTTGAAACGAATCCGCTAGGCCAACTAGTCTACTCGTCAGTTGGTTCCATTATATCGCAGTGAATGGTTCACGCCCAGACCGGGGTCTAACTTAAGCTGAACCGAGCAATGTTTGCAACGAAGCGCGAGTAGCAACAATAACGCTAAAACCACCGAGTACGAGTAATTAAAAAACGCTCGGGGGAGAAGAAATCTCATGAAACGCAGGATCGGCGCGGCACGTACCGCACTGTTGTTGTTACCGAGCGATCTTTCAAAAGTACCTTACCGTATCTAGCACGTCGCTAGATGAGACCGACGCTTGAAGAAACGTTAAACGTCGGCGAGGCGAAAATAGAAACAAACGCCAAAGCAAAGGGAAAAAAAAAAAAAAGTTCGGTCCAGACCTGGAGATTAGACGATTAATTACGTGGCGAGAGATAGGAGAAGGGGAAGAG